CAATGAATAGCTTATTATATTCATTAAAAACACACTTTACTCTATAATCTTTCATAGAAATATCAGAATAAAGTAAAAAATTGGTTATTGGGAGCCCACCTCGAGTAAAACAAATCTTCTAAGAAAGTCGACAGATGAATTAGATTCTGCAGCCTCCAAACTTCTTCCTCTTTTTTTTTTTCCGCTCTCCTCCATTTCTCCTCTCCATCTCTTCCTTCTTCGGCAAGCCTAGTGCATAAGGGGTGAATGAAATGGGTTTAGATATTTATTTATATGAAAATTCATTTCAGTGGCCAGCGTTGCAGTTCTCTAGCTCGCAGCACTCGGCCGAAATATTCTAGATTCCCCCAAATAGTCCTAGACAAGGAGACCAATACCACAATTCTCCCTCAGAGTCTACTCCAATACAGAGGATAATGTTGTAATGCCGCCATGCATAGCCCCGTTGCACCCAGCCCAACTTTTCCCCCCAAACAGAGAGGGAAGTGCCACAATGCTCTATGGCACAGCGCCGCAGTGCTCCCAGAAGAATTTTCTTATTTAACTCTAGACTCTTCCACCTTTTATTCTAAATTCTCAAATCTAAAATTTTAGAACATACAGAGGCACATAAGAGGATCTTATCAAGTTTTGTAGCTACAGGTATTACAGATTCTTTGTGATTAGCAATTAGCAAGACCAGTCTAACTTGGTTATAATATTTTCCATTTTGAAAAGTTCGTAAATGAATAAGAGAATAAAATTATAATCTTAATGAATTGACACATTGATTATGATTGATCATGTGGATTTGATAGGCGGTCAGCTCATTGATTTCTCCATGTCTATGAGTACTCGACTTCTTTCTAAAGATCCGATTTGAACTTCTCTCATAACATGAAGATATCAAGAAAATCAAGTATACCAACAAAATAGTCTTTGCAATGTTGTTGGAGAGCTACGAGAAGTGAGAAATTCTCTCTCATAACTTGAAGATATCTATTTCTTTACTCCTATTCTCTTATCGTACCTACATTAAGTTAAGCATAACAATAAAAAAAAAAAATATTATGTATAGATATATTTGGGGAGAAACACCACACGAGTTTAGCTCTCTTGACCGAAAGAAGCTGTTTGTGCTATGCTCATAGCATTAGTGTACCTATACTTTGAATCGTGTTCTTTTGATTTAGAAAATGTATGTGATGAGGACATCAAAGATCAACGGCTACGATCGTGTCTATTTATTTTGATGTATTTGATTTTTGTATTTTTCCCTTTCTACCCTCACTTGAGGGCTTTGTCTTATGTTTTCCGTAGGGGCAATTGTGTCTTTTTATTTTTCTTCATGTATTTGGCTATTTAAGCCTTCCCCTTCCTCTTGGAAAGGGATGATGATTATTGCTAATGAAAATTTTGATTTTGGATCTCTTTGTGAGTTCTAGAGTTCTCTTTGTGAGTTCTCAAGTGAGGAAAGCCTAGGTGAGGCTCAAAGCAATACCCAACAGCCCCTTGGTGGAGCTCTTGGTTTTCTACATAATTTCTTTTCTTCCCTCTCCCCTAGCCGCCGGATTTTTCTCCACCACCCCTCCATTTGGCCGGTCAGCCACCCGGCCCCTTCCCCCTTTTGTTCTCTTCCACGGTTTTACCCCCAGCCACCCATCCCGCCATCCCCTTCCAGCCATACCGCCGGCTGGAAAATCTGTCAGCCCAACACCCCCCCATCCAGCCGTCCCTCTCAGCCTCCCAAGCATGCCGCCGGCCATCACATGTTTTCTCCTTTGAATTTCAAATTCCATTGAGTAAATTACTTTCCTCAAATAGCTTTTCTCTATTTAGGAAAGTCAATCAATGGACATGAATTCAATTTTGAAATTCAAACCTATTTCCCTCCTTCATTCCACTAGATTGGGAAACTTACTTAAACTAGAATAAATCTGAATTTAAATTCAGATTTGAGCTTAATTTAATTATTCCCTTGGGCCCTACTCTCATTTAATTTAAACACAAAAATGAAACCCCCATAGGGCCGGCCCCTCTCTCCCCCCTCCTCTCTCCACTTTACCACCTAAGCACCAATTAAATCCCCCATAATTCCCATCATAACCGCTGGCCCCCACTCCCCCCATTACTCCCTTAATTGAGGTTAATTTGAATTTTAAATTGGCCCCTTTCCTTTTAATAAAATCTGAAATTCAAATTTTAGATTTTTTTTTCCCCTCCAATCTCCTAGCCTACTCCAAGCTCCTCACCCAAATCACCCCGCCTTTTCTCCCCACCTTGGCCGCCCTTTCAGGCTTACGTTTTCTTCATTGGCTGGCACTTTAGGAGGACTACACTTGCTGTACTGCTAGCTGAACACTCCTGTTTTGCTGTCCAAAGAGTTCATGGCTGCTGTCCTGAATATTTCCGACGAGACAAACTGCTGTCCTGCTCTCCAGGAACTCCTGTTTGCTGTCCGGAAAAGTCATGGCTGCTGTTTCAGGATTCCAGCAGTTTTCTAGTGTTGATTCGCCATCCGGAAGGCTCTCATTGGTTGCTCAGAAGATCCCACACTGCTGCCCACACGCAAAACTTCTTCAAATTCAACCACCGGACTCCGGATCTTCTCCCTCGCTCAAATTCATCTAAGAATTTTGACAACGGTGAACTCTTCCCCAAGTTTCCTATTTTTCCTAGTTTATGTTCAATTGAGGTTATATTTTTGACTCACAAAGATCATGTCAAGCTCTTCACCGCTATGCTTAGAGAACTAGAGAGTTGAGTGAGGGACTCATGCATAGTGCCTAATCTTGTTGTTAATTTAGGGATTTTCGTTGAACCATTCATGTATGCAATGTTAGATTAACTTGATTGTTTTCTGATCTTAACTTTTATGCACATGATTCAAGCCTAAGCTCGTTTTACCGCTCTTAATGTTTTATCTTGTCGTTCAAATCATTATTAAGATATAATTATTTGTTCTCTCTAAAATTAAACGTGCAAATTCATCAAGTATATCATCTCGGCATGATTGTTTCACATCAGTATGTTAAGTGCTCTCAAGGTTGAGGCAAGCTGTGTGATGAAACTGTGGTTTTCCAACTTGACAGCTTAAAATTTACAGGTTTTTTATCCAAAGATAACAGATCTGATGTGGGAAATTTTGACTCAAGATTAAGTAAATGCAGTTTTCAGCACATACAATGCCCAACTTGATTTCTATGGAGAAAAATGACAATGTTTTTTGCGCGTTGAAACTCAACAGTCTACACTACTTCACTATCATATAGTTGTCAGCCTCACATGGTAAACCGTAGGGGTGTCAATTTTGGGTCATAGGTCGGGTTCGGGTCAATTTCGGACTTGAACCCGACCCGCTTCGGGCCTGGTCAACCCGACACGAGCCGAATGACCCGGGGCCGACCAGAAATTGCTAGTTTTCAAGTCAAAAAATGGGCCAATCTCCACTTTTCTGGTAAAAAATGGGTCAATCTCGGGTTTTAGGTTAAAAACATGTTTTCGGGTCAAAAGTAGGTCAATTTCAGGTCAAAGGATCAACCAGAACCCGCTCTAATTTTTTAAACTGGTTTAATAGTTGAACCCGAACCTGAACCATTTTTCGACCCGTTTCGGGTCTGGGTTGACCCTAACCCGAAATTTTCGGGTAGGGTTCGAGTCGGGTTTTTGGGTCGTCAAATATTGACACCCCTAGTAAATTATAGTTAAATATGACTTGAAATTTTGGGTTTAGATTGAAGTTTTCAACCTATTTTTGTTTAGTTTTATTTGAGGTTTTTAAATAGTTAGACGAGTTATATCCATATATATATATTTCTTTCCTTATTTTATATAGCTAGCCCATATCTTTTTGCTTTAGTCATGGATGTTCTCACTAGACATTTGCAAGAAGATGTACCTTGGTCTATGCTTTTTGCTGATGATATTCTTCTTGTTGATAAGACTAGAGAGAGTTGAAGGTAAACTTGAATTATGGAGGTCAACCTTAGAGTCTAAAGGTTTTCGCTTGAGTAGATCTAAAATGGAATATATTGAGTGTAATTTTAGTAGTAATAGACCTAGTGAGGGGATTGTGACTTTGAACGATCAAGTCATTAATAAGAGTACACATTTTAGATATTTTGGATCTATTGTTCAGAGTGATAGTGAAATAGATGGGGATATTATCAGCATAATTCAAGTTGGATGGTTGAAGTGGAGGAATGCATCGGGCTTGTTATGTGATAGAAATGTACCCCTCAAACTTAAGAGAAAATTTTATAAGATGGTAGTGAGGCCTGCAATGCTTTATGGTTTCGAATGTTGGCCATTAAAAGAGAAGCATAATACTAAGTTAAGTGTGGCAGAGATGAGGATGCTCAGGTGGATGAGTGGCTTTACCCTTAGAGATAGGATACGAAATGAGCATATACGTGAAAAAGTTGGAGTAGCTCCTGTAGAAGATAAGATTAGAGAAAGTAGCCTTAGATGGTTTGGTCACATAAAACGGCGGCCTTCCGATGACCCGGTTAGGAGAGTAGAGGTATTAGATTTGACTTATGTTAAGAAAGGTAGGAGTAGACCTAAAAAGACTTGGTCGGAAAATATTAGGAATGACATTTCTTTATTAGATTTAAACGAGAATTTGACTTTAATAGGACACAATGGAGAAAAAGGATTCATGTAGCCGACCCCACATAGTGGGATAAAGGCTTGATGTTGTTGTTGTTTCTTTCCTTATTTTCTTGTTAATCCTTCTATATTAATCTTAATTGTTTTATCCTATTATTATGCATGTCCAAATCATATTAGATTATTTTCTCTAAAATTTTTTTTTGGGTTCAGTAGGGGCTACTCCCATTTCTCTCTCATATAACTCATCTTTCAATATGTTTTACTTTATTTTTCTATACACTTCGTCTTATATGTATTATTTAGTTTCTATCATACTTGGTTTAGCTATCAATCATTTCACATTTCTGTTTTTCAACAAAATGTTCCATTTGATGTTCCCTATTTAATTGCAGCTTTACAAAATTCAGTTCTGCAGGTAATATATAAAAGCGCTTAATCCTCTCCCTCTCTCTTCATGAAAATGACGAGTTCTTGATCCTCTTTGAAATCTGTGAGAGATGGTTCCATGGCAAGTGCGCAGGATCACACCATCCATCTAGAGCTGAACACATCAAGGCATATAAATGTGCCTTGCTTGTAGCAACAAGTTGGCAAATGCACAAATGGTAAGAAGCTTATTTCATATTAGATCTGGGCTTCTAATGATGCAAGGGTCATTTTGGATGTAGAATTGGTTGGACAAAGCTGCATGTTTTAGACTTCGTTTGGGACAACTTTCTTGCTACTTTTTAAAATAATTTTTTAGTACAAAAATTAAAAATTTTGTACTAAAAACTGTTTTAAGAAGCAGTAAAAAAGTCGTCCCAAACGAAACCTCAATGAGCCATAGTCCTAAGTTTCGTTAGGAATAGCTTTCTTACTGCTTTTTAAGGCAGCTTTTCTAGTAAAAAATTCTTAAGAAGCAGTAAGAAAATCATCCCAAATGAAACCTTAGATTTTATTCTTGAATAAGGATTAATAAAGGAATAGTCAAATAAAAATGTGATTGTTGTCTAGAAAGCAAAGCAATGGAAAATACTAAATGATATAGGATTAATCTTTACTCTAATGTAATTCTTAACAATTTCTGCAATTTTTTTTTCCCGATAATGTGCATTATTGATTATTGGCTTTATCTCCACCTTATTAAGGGCTGTTTTGTTGAACATAAGAGGAATGCAGATCTGACCAAAATCCTACAAATTAAATCCGATTGAATTGGTTTCATTTATTTCGCAAAAGATTTGCAGGAAAATGAGTTTTTCAAATACTAATTTCATTTTGAATAAAAAGCCGAAATTATTTGCAATCTTTTTGCATCAAATTTTGTGGGCTCTGCTCGCGAATTCTCCATGTCTCAGATTTGTGGAGGAACTCCACCGGGCTTAGCTGGGTTGGTGGGTGAGTGTGGTTGGGTACCCCTACCCACGTTTGATTCCTCTCTCCAGTGGCACACCTTCTTAAGTGGGGGAAAAATAAGTGTGTGGTCCGGCACTTGTGGGACTAGCTGCCACTAAGCCCACCGAGGAATTAGTTACACCGCAAAGCGACTCCTAGGTGAAAGATAAACAAAACTTCACGCATTTTTATTCAAATTTAATTAGGTTGTTTTTTAAATATATTAAATTTATTTGTCATATTACTAATTAAAACCATTATTATTTATAAAATATTAAATTCATATAATAAAACATAATTGTAAAATTGTAATTACCATGCCTTCTTAAGAAATAATCATTTATATTATTCTCATTATAGGCCCATAAACTCATCCCATAATATTAAAATGATGTAAATTTAAAACTTATAAAAAAATATATTGAAATCTCTAAAAAAATTTTGTTATTATTATACTCTTATTTAGGTGATTTTTAATCTTTATTATAAGGGATATTAGATGATTGCCCCCCTAAGAATATTAAAATACTATAATTTTTAGGCAATTGCCCTTGATATAATAAAATATATTGTGTAGATTTGTTATTGTTAGCGGAATGATGAACCAAATACAAAGAGAAATAGTAAATCAAAATTTGTTTAGAGGGTGCTGTCCCTGAAAATCCCCGTAGGGGCGCTGCCCCTTGACCCCGCAACTTAACTGGGCAGGTCGATGTCAGAGGGTGCTGCCCCCTTGGACCCCTGTCATATATGAGAACAATTACTTATAAGTTTGTCTCCCATGAAAATTATGACAGGTTCCCTGGATGACATAAAACATGAAAATTATTTAAATTAGCCAAGCCATCTCTTCTGCTGTCATTTGTGGTAACTTTGCAAATGTTTTTTTTTTTTAATCTGATTTCCATTTAATTTGATAATGATTCTTGATAATCTGATTCTTCTCTGCGAGAGAAATTAAAGGGCTTCATGCCTTCATCCCATGGCATTTTAAGGCTTTTCACTTTCAAAAGTAAACGGATGGAGCAAAGCAGAAAATGCTAAACAAAGTCTTCCTTTGTGATGTGACCGGCTTGCAGTACAGTACTACTAAATGGAAAGAAATCAGATTCTTCGTATAGTACAATATAATTTAAAAGAACAAATGAGGGAATTTTGAATTATATTTGTGCTACTTTTCTTATAGGTGTGAGAGTTTGACTTATGCTTTTCAAAACATAAAAATTTTAAATTCAAAAATATTTGTATTAAGAAAATGATTTACAGAATATTAAAAAAATTATATCAAATAAAGTCTTAATTGATCTAAATGTCTTTAAAAAAATATTTGTGTAATGAATATTGGACATCATATTATATGTTATAAATATGTTAAAATTTTGATTAAATTTTATTTATATTTCATTTTAGTTTTTTTTTTAAATTAGATTCAAATAATATTTAAATATTTAAACTAGATTCAATTAATATTAAAATATAGTTAGAATTTGTTTTAATATAATTTAAACTCGATTGAAATAAGATTTTAATAAAAATCAAAGATGATTCGAATATGATTGGAATAAGATTTGAGCTAGATTGTGATATGATTTGACATGATTTTGATGTTGTTCGAATATTGTCTAATTGGATTCAAATATGTTTGGAATAAGATTTGATATTGGTCCGGACAATATTTAAACATAGCTTAACAAGTTTAATTATGGATGAACAAACAAGATTTGAATATTTTCAAATATGGTTTTAATATGGTTCAAATTATATAGTTTAGCCTTCGCTATCTCTATTTTGGGATTGTGTTATTTGAACATTATTAGATTATAATAGAACTATTTGGATGGAGAGAGCATGGAGGATATTAGGTATGAAGAGCAACAAGGTGCTTATGGGAAAATATTTCATAACATTGTTGATGAATAAAATGTGATTGTTGCTCAGTATTTAAAATTGAAGTATTTTTCATCATTGTGGTTGATTTTTATTTATGTAAATTAACTCATAGCTTATCCCTTGAAATCTATTATTTATTCTTCATAAAACTTATAAAGAGGACATTCATAAGACGATTATACATGCTTCTAATCAATTTATATTAGTTTGAGACTTTGAGTTATAAAGAAGAAATATATCACTAACATTTTTAGGAGAGAATAATAGGCAAAGAAAGCACAATTAGCCGCAAGTCAATCTGTGCCCTCTTACAAATGATTGAAATAGCTTTTTATTATTAATAGGAGTTGAAGAATGGTCTAGTTGAGTTAGAGAAAAATAAAAATATTTTAGAGAAAAAAATGGATGATCTATTCAATTTTGTTCAAATTTCGTATATAGGAAGGAGCATGAGCGAAAGGAGGATAGTGAGAAGGTACATGTAGCTGGTTCAGCTATTCAAGCATTTGAAGTTGGGGATGAGATGCAAAACAAGAAAGAGATATAGTCAGAGGTGGAGAAGATTGCGGAGAATATAAAGGGCCAATCATTTGTTATTATATGTACAAACAGGAGGTTAAGAAGTGATTGGTGAACATATACTCACTAAAATGCTAGTCATTTAACATATTCTAAAGTAATCTTTTATTTATTTTAATAGAAAGTAGATAAAAATGTTGAATAATGAAGCAAACAAGAGACGAAATTTATGTTACACTTAAGAATTGGTCCTAAGCGTCAAAGTAATAAATTATCATGTCCTATGGCACTTGACAACATTAAAGAACTACACTTTTTGTCTTTGAAGCCCTAATTTTTGAATTTATGACAAAGCAAGTAGTGCCTTGACATTGGCCCATGTTCTATGGCATTAGAATTCATGCAGAAAAATAAAAAATACGTACGAAGTAGGTAACACCTTGGTTCTTGACTAAAGTGCCACAACCCTACATACTGAACTTGTTCAGTTTTTAAGTAGTTTCAAGATTGTAAAGGAGCATGTTTGAAAATTTAATCAATTATGTTATGGAGTTGAAAAATGATGATTTTGCGTGAGAGTGTGAATGTCATCAATTGGGAGGAAGGAGAAGAGGAAAGATGATTCAAAAGAAAATTTAGGCACAAAATCGCAACATATTTCATTCTTCTTTCATTTCTTTCTATTTCTCATTTTGTATTCTTTAAGTTCGTGATCAATTTAATTACTTTATTTTACCAATTCTATGATGAACTAATTTTAATTTTTAGGTTTATAATATAATTAGAATATCATTGTACATGTAATATTTGTTTTCTTGTGTATGTTTATTCTTGAAAGCATGTTTGATTTATCTTGTTCTTCATTAGATTTATTATATAGCCAACTTGCAACTTAAAATATACATCATTTTTTGATAGTGAAAGAGTCTTTAAGGATTTGAAAAAATAAATTAGCAAATCTTTTAATTTGGACATGAATATCCTCTATTAGTATTTACATTCATTTAAGATAAAAACTTCATGCAATCTTTTTAATTAGTTCATACTTGAATACGATGAAGTAATTAGTTAAAATTATTTCAATTTCTAATTTTTGGAAGAGATTAGAAACTAAATCATTAATCTTAATTGATAATTTAATTAAGAAATTAGAAATCAAATTAATAGATTGGTGAGATGTGTTTTGATGGGATTATGAATTTAGAACTTCTCTCCATTGTTACTTAAAATTTAATATAATCATAAGAAATTATTAAATAAATTATTTTAATTAAAATGAATAGAATAAATAATCAAAGAAATTACTAGTTAACTATTCAGAGTGATGCTTTTGATCATGTAGGGAGTGATATTTAATTCATTCTATATTATTTGTCAGTACATACAGTTAAGTATCACACTAAATAAACAACAAAAATACATAAGATGTTAACTTGTCTCTTGCTATTATTCATAAAAGTCAAGTTATTAGATTATAGAAGAAATATGCAAAAGCGTTTGAAGTACTTATTTACTTAGAATTAGAGTTAGGGTTTAGAGTTATCAAAGTAGCAATTCTCATAGCAAGTTAAGGTTAGGGTTCTCTCTAAAGAGGGTGACCTGATATCTAGTCGTTGCATTAAGGTTCTTATCAAGTTCTAAATCAAGAGGGGAGGGTGCCTAAAATTAGGGTGAGATGTATGATCAAGAGAGGGAATAGAGAATTAAACAAATAAAATTAAGGCATATAACTAGAGAACTCTACCAAGTCCTCTAAGATGAAGCTACCAAGCATTCACAACAATTTGCGAACAAGCAAGGATAATTTCATTCATACATATAATTGTTCAAAGAGGGTCACATGATGTACATAAAGAAGAAAGAAAATAAAAATACATGTTAATAATTCAAATTATTGGCCAAAGTCAATTATGGAAAGAGAGTGGTTATATGTAATGGTTCTAATCTTCATGGATCCTCTTATAATGGCAGCTTTTTTTTATCAGGATAATTTTGTTTTGAGTTATATATATAATAATGATGATTATAATTTTCAATCTCAATGAAATACTCTACTATGTAATCTAGTCTAGTCTATGTTCACATGATTGTGTTGCATCCTTTTTTTATTTTTAAAATAATTCTTCTTTTGTATATCTAATCTCGGTTGTCAAATTAGATGTATCATTATTGTATGATTAGAATTATATAATTGCACATATTATTCCAACCTTAACTTTAAAATATCAAAATAAAGTAATTGATGTTGTGGATAAGATAGAACATGCTATATTACTTATATATTGTATTTGAAATATAAATGTCTATCTCATATGTTATAAGAAATATATCTATAAACTCCTTTTGTAATTACTATATATTGATGTTTTCATATATATATATATATATATATATATATATATATGATCTTTATTGAACTCCAATAATTATCATGAAATATATAATTATCATAAAAAAATCAAGCAAAGCCAAAGAAAATTGAGATTAATCAAATCTCTAAAGTTGTATTTTAAAAAGCAATTTTCATTTTTACTCGTTTTAAATATAAAGTAAAAAAATCCTCATATTAAAGAAAATTTTCATAAGATTTATAAAATTTGAAATTAATAATACAACCTTATTATATAAAATTAAGTTATTTTATCAAATTCAAATCTATTTATTTATGTTTATAGGACTAATTGTGACACGTAGGCTTCGTTTGGAACAACTTTCTTATTTCTTTGTAAAGTAGATGTTAAGTATAAAAAATTCTTAAACTAGAAATTTTTATTTTCAAGAAAACTATTTTAAAAAGCAATAAAAAACTATCTCAAATGAAGCCTCAGCTAACATTTCAAACATCTTATAACATGCATTGATATTTTCAATAAACCCTTTTCTTAGCATACAAGAAAAAAAGGTTTACCTAACAAATGACCCAAAAAAAAAAAAGATTTACCTAACAAATGCCACGCCATATCCATTAGAATAATTATTTTTACTATACTGTGGATATACGTACATTTGGATGTCACATTATGCAAATGTCATTTTCTTCACTCACGCAAGAGGTGGACCATAGCACATCAAATCTTAAAGTGTTAAGAAAACCTACATTCTTTCTAATAATACACACTTCCCAAAGTCTTAATAGAAAGAATATAATTATCATTTCAATGCTTCTATTACTTCATGACAAGCTCAAGCCAATAAAAGAAAAAATAAAAGGGGAAATTTTTGGAAAGTCAAAAAGATTTACCAGCAGGGTCATAACATCTCACCTTCAGTGAGAGGAACATCTTCTCCCTCAGTGAACACCACCCAAACTGTACTTATCTTCGTCTCCAGCTTTTCTGAGAATGGACTGCTCCACTCTTCCTCACTGGCCCGCCCTTCTTGATTTTCTTTCTCCCCGTTAATCTTTTTCATCAGCCTCTTCTCCTCATATGAAGCTTCTTCGGCTAAAGCAAACTGTACCATAGAAGAAATGTCTTCTTCTGTTATAATTCTTATTGATGGAAACTCCATATTCTTCCCTGTAATAACTCTCTTGCAAGAAGCATAAAACTCTTGTAGCTTAGGCGTCTGCCAGATTGCCTTTCTCAGAATACCAAGAGCTGAAAACCTTGCAGGTCTCTTAAGGTCAAAAAACGAAGTTAAAACCATCTCAAATCCTTCGCAAAAGCTTTCATAGACACGAAAACTCTCTCTCACTATGATGTTGAGAGCAAAAATAGTCAATTGACTCTGCTGCAAATTTCTGCTGTCGGGCAGACAAGCCATGACTCGATCCAGAAGCGCTTGACATTTCGATGCGTTGTAGAGCAGAAGCTCAGCCGCTTTATAATCCTCCCCACAATCTTGGATCTCAAGTCCCTGTGGTCTAACCGGCTCCAGCTTTCCTGCTGGGTTTATGAGCCACTCTATTCTTTCTTGCAGGAACAAAGAGTAATTCATAACAAAAGGAGCAGTATGAAGCTGGAGACTGATCCTGAGGTCTCCTGATGACCACAAGAGCCTCATATCCTGTTCAAAGAAGCGGTCGCCGCCACGAAGAAGACGATGGAGAAGCGCAAGGGTCTTGATCACCCTCGTGAGATTTCGCGAGGTCTCCACCCTCTCAGAGAGCCTTCTTGCGAGGAAGGTGATTGAACCAGGGGAATTGGAGATGAGGAAGAGGATTTCATTCACATATCTGTCATCTGGGAGGTGTTCGGAGCCGTCGGAGCTCTTAACAATGGCTGCTTCGATGTCAGAGAGGATGTGGCGGGCGGTGGCGGTGGTGTCTTTGCTCATCGAAGAGAACTGGTTTTTTACTGAGATGAGAACTGAGATTAGTTTACTCTTCACATTCATGTTATGTTCAGTATCCGGGAGGAGGGCAGAAGATGCATGAAATTTATATAGCCGTTAGAAAGAGAGGTTTCGTATGTAAAGATAACATAGACTTCAAAAAGGTTATAATTGGATGCTCTCTTCATTCTTCTCTCTGTCTCCCTTTTTCTCTCCTTTCTCTTCTTCTTTTTCTTTTCTAATTATATTAATGACCATTGCTTGGTGGGGCTAAGCATTCCTGTCAAGCACTAGTACTGATTAGTCTTTCTAATTCGATAAAAAAAAAAAACAAAAATGAAAGCTTCAATTGAATAGAACGAATCGGTTGACTTGTTGATCCAAAGTCAAGCTGAAACTTTCAAGTAAAAGTCGGGAGGCATTACAGGAAAAGCGCAATGAATGATCAATGGAAAATCAAGGCTCCACTTTGATAAATTTGCTGAAGAAGAAGAAGAGGAGGAGGTCAACCCTTTGGTAATGGTGGGGGAATCTCATGCTTTAAGAATAAGATTCCCAATGCATCAAAAGGTAGGCCTATTGGTAGGCTAATGATGCCTTTTATTGGTTTTTGACTCCATACTCTTCTGCACTTTTTCTGGCTAGATTCCCACCATGAATGAGCTTCTGCTTGTGGGGAATTAAGGGAGAGAAAACTTTGTTGTTTTATTACTCACTCCCCACTTGAGCTGCAGCAAAAGTGGTGATCATTCTCATCACAAACACCACTATTCTAACTTTAAATCTCTCCACTACTCTCCCTTTTAATTTTTCTATCTCTCTCTCTCTCTTTCTAAGATGATTTTGAGTTCAATCATAGCCATTGAAAGTGCTTCAATGAAATTGTTTAACCCTATCCCTTAAGATAGATTTTTTGGGATGAGATGGAAACATTAATAAGCTTAGAAAACATCAAGTTGACATGATTTCGCCGTATGGCTTTTAAAATTAGTACCTCAATTGTTAAATATAAGCTTCATTTGAGATTAATTTTTCTCCTTTGCTTTTCAAAAAAATTATTTTCTCCGCAGCAACTTTACGATCAACTTTATCAAAAGTTATAGTCATTCCAAACGAATAATAATGATATTTTAAGAAAAAAAAAATTGTTTGATTTAGATGATTAATTAAATGAATGGAAGTATTATGCTTTTTTATTTTAGTTGATTCATACAAATAGTCATAAACCAAAGCAAGAATTTTTACTTGAAAGTGAAGTTAAAAACTAATGTCAATAACACTCAATTGAATGTGAGAAAAAAGTATAAATTTTAATTAATTTTTAATATATTATACTCATTTCAAAATAAATTTAATAGTTTTGAAATATATTAAAATTAAAACTTGATTAAAATATTTTAATCAAAGATTGGTGATAAATAATATAGTTTGCTTCCAATTAGGCATATGTACATTATCTTTTATTATTTGGCAAAAGAATTAAGCTTTCTAAATTGATATGCTATATTATTTGAAAATAGACTAATGGTCTATTTAGATTGAATGTAGTATTTTATAAAGATGATTTTGAAATTATTGTTGGAAATATAACTTTTTTTAATGTGGCTGTGAATATTTTTTTTTTTTTTGAGAAGTCAACACCAATAAAAACAGCTTCTATAAAATCATTGGAAAACAAGGAGAAAGCACCAATAAAATAGAAGCCAAATAAAATTATAATTATAATATGAAAAATAAAGCTTTAAAAAAGTATTCCAAACAAGCCTTAAATGAACCTCGATTGCATAGTGCTGGATAATTCTCTATTAATATACTGCCGATAATTAAGCTTTCGCTTTGGATGACTTTCTTACTGTTTTTTAAAGCAGCTTTTTTATACAAAAATCAAAATTTTTGCGAAAAAAATTTATTTAAGAAACAGTAAGAAAGTCATCCCAAACGAAGCCCGTCTTGAAAAAGATGCATAGTCGATATAACACATTTTATTAACATTTTCAGTAAAATAAAATAAAATAAAATTAGGCTAGCTTATCAAACACAAAATAATTAAATTTATTAGAAATTAACTTAATGGTTGAATCATCCTATTGTAGTTCGCATTAGATATATTAATGATGATTTATATTTGAGTCAATAAGCTAGCATGTATTCATAAAAAACAGTCAAACAAGGTGGACGCTTAGATATATTATTATTGAGCACAACTTATATATATATATATTGAAAATAGAAGATAATTCTTGAAAAGTAAATCATTTTTTGTTTATTTAAACAAGTTCAAATAAAGCCAAACTTGTAGAGTCATGATCCAATTTTTTATTTGGTTCTATATTGGAGCCAAATTTTAACAAATTTTGGATCTTATTATGTTGGCCTGAGATTAACTTGAAATATAAATGTGTGTTTGTATATATAATAGTGAGCTAAAATGAATGTTACAGCTGATGTGATTGTAAATCTTATTGAAGGGGTTATGGAAGCTTTTAATGATGAAATAAAAGAGATTTCTTTTGAATGGAGGAAGAGAAAGAAAACTATAAATGTTTAGTGGTAACTCACTATTATAAAATTGAAAAATGGTATTTGATGCAGTGCACGATAAGGCCCACCAAATTTTTCCCAAAAAAAAGGAGGCCCACCAACAAACATTCTGTTTTGTGGCAGTCCCACATCCACCTTTACCTATTCGGTTATCAATAGTACTATTACACCTTTTTATTTGTTAGACTACTTTTAACAACATATGATAGCTGATATTAGGAAAATAGTGGGAAATTATATAAGACACACAAGTATGTAGCACAAAAGGCTTTTGTTATCATTTTTCTTCTTCTTCAATAGAAGTTTATATCCAAGGGTTGTGCCGCTTGAGTTTTTCATGTTTCATTGCTATGTCTTTGTTTCAGGTTTTTCTTGTAGGTTGTTCTTCTATTGTTGCTGATCACTGGGTACATCATGGTGGTATCAGAGCCGATTCGGTAGGATGACAGACAAAAGCAAGGAACCGACTGCCAATGAAGCTTGGATCCTTGAAACGTTGTGCATGAGCCAGGCCAACATCATATGACAATTAGAAGCATTGTCGGCAGATGTACAGCACCTCTCTATCGAAGTGCGCCGCGAGTTCAATCTCAACCGTGCAAGGAATGCACCCCATCAGCTACGTTGAGAGCCAGCACCGACTATGGTTCATGGGGTGGCAACGTGGTATGGGCCTTGATCGGAATGGGCACAGAAATCCCCAACCCACTCAAAATTTTTTTGATTCTGATGATGAATTGCAAATGCCACGAGATTTTGATCTGCTGGAATCAGAGGAAGTTAAGATTGATATTCCTTTTTTTTTATGGGCATTTACACATAGTGGGCTACTTGGATTGGGAAAAAGATCGTTGAGAATTTTTTTGATTATATGGAAATTGATCCCACATAACAAGTAAAATATGTGGTCTGCCGTTTACAAAGTGGGGCGAGCGCGTGGTGGATGCAGCTTCTACAAACGAGGAAGCGAGAAGGGAAGGGTTCCGTGCGTAGTTGGGCATGGATGAAGAACCTCCTGCGTGCTCAATTTTTGCCTACATATTACGAATATATCATATTCATGAAGTACCAATATTGTATGCATGGCAATCATTATGTTAGTGAATATATGAACGAATTTCATCGACTCACTGCTCAAATTAAACGATATGAATGAGTCAGTGAACCAAATAGTAGCTCGATATATTGGTGGACTCAAATATAGTATCCAGGAGAAATTGGAACTGAACTCCGTATGGTCACTCTCTCAGGAGATCAATTTCTTTGAAAGCTGAAATGTAACAACACCGAGCTTAGGAGATCAATTTCTTTGAAAGCTGAAATGTAACAACACCGAGCTACAAGGTTTCTAAATCCTCGTCGATTACCCGTATACACTTCGCTTGATCTTAGCAGAGGAAGCTGGCTCCCTACTAAAGCTGTTAATAACACCCCATCTCCCTCATAGTCCGCCCCACCACCAAATCAAGTTGGTCAAATTCCTGAGAATAAAAACCAACCCAAAGCTAAAACTCCAAATCAGAACAACCCCTATGCTAAGCCAACTTCCCTTAAATACTTCCGCTATTTTCAACTAGGCCACAAGTCCAACGAATGCCCCCAACGACAACAACTTCAATTGCTGGAAGCCAAAGAGGATGAACGTTTGTTCATCCAAATGAAGAAGATGATGCAGAGATTGAAGATATTAAAGGAGATGATAGTGAACTGTTAGTATGTGTCATCGAGAAGTTATTGATAGCTCCTCGCCAAGCGAATACTTCATAGCGCAATGCCATCTTTAAGACCCGGTGCACTATCAATGGCAAGGTTTGTGAGCTTCTAGTTGATAGTGGTTGCACAGAGAATATCATCTCTCGCTCAATTGTCCAAGCCTTTCAACTTAAAACTACAAAGAATCCACAACCGTATAAATCAGTTGGGTCAAAAAAGGGATTGACATACCGATTATAGATATGTGCAAAGTTACTTTCTCCATCGAGTGCCTGTATGTGTGTGATGTATTATGTGACGTCTTGGACATGGACGTATGTCACTTGATTCTAGGCCTCCCATGGAAATTTGATGTTGGGGTTGTTTATGATGGCCGAGCCAATGCATATTGGAGTGGAAAGGTAAACATCTTAGATTGTTACCCAGTCCCCATGATAACAAGCTACCACTTACCAATACTCTTCCTTCCACAATAATGCAGCTCGTTTTTGGTCCAAATTTATTGCTCACTTGGTGAGATTCATCCCCATTATGGCCACTAGTGGTCACCGACTCCACGAACTTGACAGGTGCTCAAGTTCCTGCTGCTATTGAACAATTGATCGGTGACTTCAAGGACATATGCCCTCCAGAACTCCCTTCGGTTCTTCCACCACTGCTAAAAGTTCAACATCAAATTGACCTCCTCCCTAATGCATCCTTGCCAAACCTTCCCCATTATCGGCTCAATCCAACATAACAACAAATTATGCAGACTATTATTGAAGAACTATTGAGTAAGCAACTTATTTAGGTTAGCATCAGTTCATGCGCAATCCCTGCCTTACTTGTTCCTAAGAAAAATAGTGAATGACGCCTATGTGTAGACAGCAGGGCAATAAATAAAATAACTGTCAAGTATCATTTTCTAGTGTCGAGAATTGACGAACTCATTGAGAAGCTGGTTGGGTCTTCAATGTTCTCCAAATTGGATTTGCGCAGTGGTTATCACAAAATTCGCATACGACTCGACGACGAATGGAAAATAACCTTCAAGATCCCATTGGGTCTCTACGAGTGGCGAGTAATGCCTTTTGGTCTATGTAACGTGCCTTCCACTTTTATGAGGATGATGCTAGATATACTCAAATCAATTTGGTGAAAATTTTGTATTTTATATTTTGATGACATTCTTGTCTGCAGTGATTCATTAGAAAAACATGTTGAACACCTTCGGCAACTTTTTATCATCCTACAGGATAACCGATTATTTCTCAACCTCCCAAAATCTGAGTTCCCCATCTTACGTGTTCTCTTCCTTGGCTTTGTTGTGTCCAAGGGGATAGTGTTCAAATGAACCCGGGTAAGGTTGATGCCATTCTAAATTGGCTAATTCCCAACTCATTCTTTGAAGTCAGAAGTTTTCAAGGACTTGCCAATTTTTATTGAAAATTCATTAAGGGGTTCAGTATTATTATGAGTTTGATTACAGAATACATGAAATAAAAAACTTTTCATTGGGGTGAACAAAAACAAAACAGTTTTGACACTATCAAGAGAG